AAGCTAGAAATAGAAATACCATATGATCCAGCAATCCCACTCCTAGGAATATATCCTAGAGAAATAAGAGCCATCACACGAATAGACATGCACAGCCATGTTCACTGCAGCATTATTCAGAATAGCAAAAAGATAGAAACAACCTAAGTGCCCATCAACTGCTGAATGGATAAATTATGGGACATACACACAATGTACATACACTATGCAACAATAAAGAACAATGATGAATCCACAAAACATCTCACAACATGGATGAATCTGGAGGGCATCACGCTGAGTGAAATTAGTCGATCACAAAAGGATGAATATTGTATGAGACCACTATTAGAAAAACCCAAGAAAAGGCTTATGCACAAAAAACAACAATCTTTGATGGTTTCAAGGGAGGGGAAGGGTGGGGAGAGGAAATCAGAACTAGATAGGAGACAAGTGGTAACTTTGGTGAAGGAAAAAACAACACAGTATATAGGGGAAGTCAGCACAACTTGATCAAGGCAAAGTCATAGCAGCTTCCTAGACACATTGAAACACCCTGAGGGACCAAGTTACTGGGGCTGAGGGCTGGGACCATTGTCTCAGGGGACATCTCGGTCAATTGGCATAACCCAGTTCATAAAGAAAATGTACTACATCTTACTTTGGTGAGCAGTGTCTGGGGCCTTAAAAGCTTGTAAGCAGCCATCGAAGATATATCTATTAGTCCCATCCCATCCGAAGCAAAGGAGAACAAAGAAAACGAACAACACAAGGAAAATATTAGTCCAAAGGGCTAATGGACCACATGAACCACAGCCTCCACCAGCCTGAGTGCAGAAGAACTAGATGCTGCCCAGCCACCACCACCAACGGCTCTAACACGGATCACAACAGAGGGTTGTGAAAAATGTAGAAAAAAATTCAAATTCACACACACAAAAAAAAGACCTGACTTACTGGTCAGACAGAGACTGGAGGAACCCCCAAGACTACGGCCCATGGACATCCTGCTACCTCAGAACTGAAGTCTCTCCCAAACAATAACACACGTGAGCAACGTGCTTCTTAGTTCAGCCAAGTACGTGAGACCGAATAGGCAACAGCTGCCCAAAAACAAAGATGAGAAGGCAGGAAGGTACAGGAAAATTGGACAAATGGACATGGGGAATCTGGGGTGAAAAGGGAAAGGGGGAGAGTGCTGACACAATGCAGGAATTGCAACCAATGTCACAAAACAATTTGTGTATAAACTTCTGAATGAGAAACTAATTTGTGCTGTAAACTTTCACCTAAAGCATGATAAAATTTAAAAAAAAAAAAAAAAACAGTATGTAATTTTCTCCAAAGCTGGGCTTTTTAAAGGGACTTCCAAAAGTAATTCTGACGATATAGAAATCTTGACTTAGAAGACGACTTCAAAACCCAGTCTCCCCACCTCCAAAAACAATGCAACTCTACTGTATGCCATGTTGAAAATCATAGATTAGCTGGGTGATGAATATGCAGTTTCATTGTTATTATTTATTTTATTTTCTAGTATTTCCACAATTTATGAATGTTGCTATCATAATAAGAAAAAAAGCTGTAACCAATTTTTTTATAGCCTTTCTGCATTTATCATAGAAATGCTAAATCTGGTATCAATACTTCTCTATCTGATCCAAAATATAGTACTACTCCTACAGTATATTATCAACTGTTAATAATTTTACTCACCCAACAATTTTTATTTTAGCTTATTGCTGTATACCATTTTTAACAACTCCTTAATAAACATATACTCAAACTATCTTTTCATCAACAATTAAGGCAGTTTTCTACTTCCATTAAGATTTAAATTTGTATGAAATAGAAACGTTTTTTTAAAAATCCAAAATAAGGTACCTGAACATCATAGAGTGCTACAATATTTTCATGCTGAAGTTCCTGCAAAGGAAATAGAGAATTTAAAATAATTGTATTTATTCTGATAATTTTAATATATTTAAATATGCAAATAAATATTGGCCAGTATACACACACAGATACACATACTATTTCCAGTATATTACACTTCTATTACTAGACTAGAGCAAGTCAATCAACCAAAGACTAAGAAGTGTCCCTGATCAAACTTGAAGTCTAAAAATTTCTTTCACCACTGTCATTGTCTAGACTCCTAACAAGGTGAGTATTTTCATTTACAAAAAAAATATCGTAATTAGTATGGCCACAGACTTTCTGCTGATTTTCTAAATTTATTATATATACAATGTCCCATAGTGTTTCCAAGGAGCGGCTGGTGGATTTGTGAACTGCCAACCTTCTGAATAGCAGCCGAACGCTTAGCCAGTGCACCACCAGGGCACAGAGGCATAAAATTCCAAAGTACTTTTAAAAAGCACATTATCTGCCCAAGAGAAAACAGTGTAATTCTTAGCTCAAGAGTAATGTTTACCAAAGAGCTTTCCACAGAATATTGGTTTTGAGGGGAGCTGGTGTTAGAAGAGGGTTCCATGCTCTTGGCAGTTTGGGAAACACTGAGTTAAGCACACCTGAACAAGTTTTTTCACTGAATTTTTCAGACTTTCTTTAATGAGCCAAGTGCTTATGACCCTCCAAGAACGTATTTAGTAAACAGGATCTTCCCAAACTTACTTCACCATGGAACCCTTTTTTCTCAAAGTATCTCACACTGCTTGTGAGTGAACTGGAAACCACCTTCAAGGAAAATAACCTTCTTCAATTTACCAGAAAAAAAAGACCACAACTCACTCCCCTCCCCCCCTCAAAAAAAACCCTGAATTGTAACCTGAAAGGGGTCAACAAAAGACGTAAACAATATATGAGAGACTGTCTGCCCTCTCCCACAAACAACATACTAGAGGAAAGAAGGAAAGAACTTATGATAAACTAAAATCAAGTTTTCATAGAATCCCTCTAAACACTGGCCAAGATTCACAAACACTGCTTCCAAGTACTCAATGTTTCAAAAAACTGAGCATGCAAACATGATAGCAACAGCTGAAAATTCTCACTACTTGGGTTCAACTACCTAAATTGCAAAGGATGTGACCATGTATCCACATAATTTAAAATAAAATTTAAGCTAGTCTGAAATGCCACATAAAGAAACATACCTTTAAGATTTTTATTTCCTTTCCAAGCAGTACTTGTGATTTTGACAGGTTCTTTTTATTAATACTTTTAATAGCTACCTCCCAATCAGTTTTCTGAAAAGGGAAAACAGCGTTACTCCTGGAAATCATTCCTGACATAACTTAGCAGAAAAATCTGTAAAGACAGAGATGTTTTTAGCAAATTCATGTATGACATTTGGGAAAATAGAAAATAATCTGAATCTCTAACAACAGGAAAATGATTTCATAAATTATGGTGTAACAAGCCAATCTCCTACAACACAGCCACTAAAATCAAAAAACATGAAGACCACATAGTAACTAACATTAAGAGAAAAAGGAACACCGTTTACAGTCATTTAAAAGTTAAGGAGAAATGTAGATAATAAATCTGGAAGGTGGTATGGCTAATTGAAAACAGTATTTGTTAGCCTGGCACGATAACGTTTTAATTTTTTTTAGTATTAAGCTATTTTCATAATAAATAACAATAAGTGGTATACTTTATCTGACATGTCAGCCCACTTTTAATAGGCTCCTTGGCAACAATCAGAACTGCCAAACCCTTTATGATTATTTCCACTCCTGAAACGTCTTTCCAAATTCTTTAAATTCTAAAACGTCGTGTGGCCCTATCTGCGAAACAGTAAAACCTTTATTTTAAAAAAGGGGGTGGGCGGTTTGAACGTGCTTTCATTAGTAGGCTTGAAAATGAAGCGTCCGATCATCTTTTCCACTCTCACTCCAGGAAGGGAATATGGTACCGGGCTCGTCGGGGTATAGAGGAACCAAGGCTGGGAAATAAGTGTAATCTCCGAGTTAGAAAAAGCCTCAAGTTAACGAGGAAACCGGCACGTTTTTCCGCTGGGTCTGCAATTATCAACATTAAATGTGACAAGCCCTGGCAGCCCAGACGGAGGGCATCCAGAGGTCCACGCTCGAGCCTCGGGATGTGCAAGGGGCCGTGCGGTACTGTGGGCTCAGGGACTTAAGAGGACGAGGGCCTCTCAGGAAACTCCTGTTATACCGAGAACACTAACAGGGTTAGGAAATCAGGGGACCGACAATGGGTGGAGCGCTGCCTAGCGACTTTGGCCTCGAAACCATTCTCCCACGACCAAAACAAATCCGTGACAATGAAAGCACAAAAGCCAGCCTCGGGTGGCGGGCCCTGGGAGGGGACACCTTTTCTCCCTGGGGACTCGACTCCAGCGGCTTCGCGAAGTTTTGGGGCCACCGGGGACCGCGCGAGACAGGCCTCACTGCGCCGGGCGGGCCGGCTCACCTGGCGGTGCCGGCCCCGGAAGACCACGGCGAACGCCCCATGTCCCACGAGGTCCCGCTTGCTGTACTCGAAATCGCCCACCACCTCCATGGCCGCCCAGGGCGCACCACGGTGGGGACAGCGGGCGGGCCAGATCAGCACTGCGGGTCTGCAGGCCCCGAGGGCGCCCGCGGGAGGCCGGACTGGGGCAGCCGCGGCCCCGGGCCCGGGCGGACGCTCATGCCGGGAGGCCGCAGCGAAAACGGGGTAGGCCGCCGCACTGGGCCACCGCCGTCACTGCGCGTCCCCGGAGCCACACGCACGCCCGGGACAGGTGCGGAGCCCAGTCCTCCCCATGCCCGGCCCGCTCGGCTCCTAGACGTTCTCAGCACCACAGTGCCGCTGCGGCCCGTGAGCCCCGCCTCCCGGCGCCAACGCACGCGCGCGCGCTGGCCGCTCCGTGCCTACGTCAGCACGTAGGATGGGACGACTGAGCGAAACCTTGTCCACTCAGTGAGGAGGGAAACGAGGGAGGCACGCTGCTGTGGCTACGGCTAAGTTACCCACGCAACCTCCGCGCCGGGCCTGGGAGCAGATCAGAGTCGGCCACGCGCCGGCCTCGAGTGGGCTGGGAGGCGGGCTGGAGAGAGGCTGGAGCGGGGATCCCTTGTGCAACTAGAATCCCAAGCATCCAGAGAGGGCAGAGAAGCATCTCCTCCAGCTTGGCCTCCTTTCCTGCACCCTCTAAAACCAGAGGTCATGCCGCGAAACTGCCGTCCTTCTCCGATCCTTCTGTGTTTCCTTACTCAGGGTCCCTGAGGAGATGGTGACGGGCAAGGGTAGTGCAGTAGTTAAGCGCTAGCTGCTAACTGGAAGGTCGGCGGTTCAAACCCATCAGCGGCTGTAAGGAGAAAGATGTGTCAGTCTGCTTCCGTAAAGATTTACAGCCTTGGAAACCCTGTGGGGCAGTTCTACTCTGACCTATAGGATTGCTATGAGTAGGAATGACTCCATGGCAATGGGTTTGGTATGGTTTGGTTTTGGCCTCTGTAAGAACCTGCAAGTTTGACCTCGGGCTTACCTCGATTGACTTAAGGGAGCTTTCTTTTCTGATGGTTCAAGTTCTTCAAGTGACAAGGTACTTGTTTGTCTACTTTCCCTCAAGGATATATTTTCCTAAGTCATTTTATAAACAATATGCTTGAAAACCTCGTAGAAAACTCAGGCCTCACCCACACTGCATGATCAGTTTTTGGTATATTTGCTCTGTTTCCCTCTCACCACAATCATTACATTTCGCACCCTATGCCCATCCCTTCAAACTGATTGCGGAAGGCCAGACAGGGACTCTTAACAACCCCCAAGCTTGAGACAGTCAGCCCATGAATTCTAAGATAATCCCCCTTCTTCATGCTCTTAAAATGTAGGTCCTTGAATTTCTGCTCCCAACTACTGTGCACACCTCCATAATGCTATCCTTACTTTAAAATCTTCCCCAGATGGTTGTGTTAGAGACTGAAAATTTGAAGCCTTTAAATATTCAGTCCAGAACAAGATAGGCAAACCCAAATGCAAAAATTCAAGTTTGTAAGGGACACTACCAAACAGACCAACAAGCACATTATGGAAGTGTCATAAGAAAAGAAAGAGACAGAAAAATATTTGAAGAAAGTTGAAAGACATGCATGATGAAAAATAATCCATGCAAAGGCTAGCCAGAAGAGAGCCGGGGTGCCTACACTAATACCAAACAAATTAGAATTTAAGTCAAAATCTGCTACAAGAGACAAAACATTATAAAAACTTCATCAAGAAGAAATAACAATATTAACAGGCACCTAACAACAGAGTCTGAAAGTATATACCATAATAGTTTGAGACATCAAACACCGTTTTTTATAATAGATCATCTAGAAAGAAGGTCAGTAAGGGAATAGAGGACTTGAACAATACTGTAAGACAACTAGACCTAACAGGTATATGTAGAACTCTCCAGCTGTTATCACGGAGGGAACGAGGCCCTCTGGAGTCAATGGGTCCTTGTCTTTCTCTTGTAAGAATACACAGAAGAGACAATTTTCGAGTTCAGCTCTAACAGGTTTATTTTAAGTGCGACAAGTAAAAGGAGTCAGTCGGAGGCTGACTCGCAAGGAGAAGCAAGGCTAGGGCTCATACGGGTTCCGGGTTCCGGGTTCCGGGTTCCTTGGGGACAATAGAACAATGAATATTCGGTGGGAGCCGGTACTCCTTGGAATGGTAGTGCATACTAATTAGGTTGCGCGCATCTAGTATCCAATATGGAACCTGCTGATATTCAAGAAGGAGTCCTCCCAGCCGCTCTCGGCATC